GCAAGCTGCAGAGGTCATCTCAGGATTTAGAATGAGCCTTCCCGCCTTCTGACTGAAATCCCTGCAGTGGATTCCTGCTGAACTTAGACTAGAACACACTCTTTATCGGGCCCGGGAGGCACAGAATTCTCTGGCTTCCACCTCGGTGCCACCCCTCGTCTGAGTTTTGTGCCGTTTCTCTAACACGTGACCTCTTTTCTACTTCCGCACCATTTGTACATGCTGTTCCCTCTGCCTAGAAAGCTCTTTCCCCACATTTTGCAGAGCCAACTAGCCTGTCATCTTCCTTCAGTTCCATCTTAACAGTTGTCTGTCGGAGGCCAGCCCTGTCCCCTTCCTAAAGCCTGCCAGTCCCTGCTCAGGAACTCTGGGCTGTCCTGGTGGGACCTAAGAGCTCACAGAGCATGTGGCTGTAGGCTCTTTTTAAATGAAATGTTATACAACATTTAAAAATAACAAATTATATCAATCAATATGGTTAAATTTCTGTAAACTAATGTGAATTTAAAAAGCAGCAATACGTTGTTTTAAATGTAAAAGATTGAATTCCAGATATGTAGATAAAATATCCTATATAATAAAAGGATAATATGTAAATTGACCCTAACAGTGGAATGACCAATAACAACTGGTCGCTATGATGTGCACTGACCACCAGGGGGAAGACGCTCAACGTAGGAGCTGCCCCTGGTGGTCAGTGCGCTCCCACAGGGGGAGCTCCACTCAGCCACAAGCTGGGCTAATGGCTGTGGTGGCGGGAGCCTCTCCTGCCTCCTTGGCAGTGCTAAGGATATCCGACTGCGACTTAGGCCTGATCCCCTTGGGAGAGGGCTTAAGCCGGCAGATGGACATCCCTCGAGGGCTCCCGGGCTGCCAGAGGGATGTCGGACTGCCGGCTTAGGCCAGATCCCTGGGGAGTGGGCCTAAGCCAGCAGGTGGACATCCCCCGAGGGATCCTGGAATGCGAGAGGGCACAGGCCTGGTGGAGGGACCCCCCCCCCCCACAAGTGCACACATTTTTGTGTACCGGGCCTCTAGTGAAAATACTAGTATAAAGGGAATGGCAAATTTAGGGCTGTCTAAGCTCCCTTTTTCCCATATGTATTATAAAATCATCTTAAATCATCTGAATCCTTTTCTTGGAAAATGTTCCACATGTTTCTGACCTATGTTTTCTTTTCCCTTTTAAAACAAATCTTGAATTTCAAAGAAAGTGCAGATGCTATGACAAACTCTGTCTTTCAATATATTATTTCATTGGCTCACTGCCCTTGGCAATTAGGAGAAGATTTATAGACATGTCCCCTAAATAATTGGCAATTAATTTGAGATTAGATGCCCAAAGTACAGTATTCTTAATGTAACGTGAAGGTTGAGGCTTTTCGCTTACAAATGTCACGGAACGCAGAGTAAATGTTAACGGGCAGCACAGTGAGCCCTGCCCTTCTGCACATTCACAGTAGAGAGGAGTTTGAGTTTGATGACCGCAAACCGGGTTGGCTAGTTTTAACGTAAAGCTCCCATGTAAACAGAGAGTGTCGCTATGTCCTAATAGTTTATCTCAATGGGGACTGATAGGAACCTACGCTATACAAGGGATAAAGAGGTCCTGTACCCCAATCTTCTTTGGAATTGTGCTTCCTGTTGGGTCCCATGGACTCTCTGGTGCTCATGGCTCAAATGATCACTGTCAGTATTTTTTTTAACGTCTGGGACTCTGGTCTCCTAGGGGAAGGTAAACCATAGATTCCAGGTAAGAGATTTTGCTGGTGAACATGGTTATCCTTCCGGTGAAATTCCAAAGTGCTTTATGCCCGGAGGTAGAGTTGACAGTTGTGACCATCAAATATCAGTGATTTACCCTCTGGTTTCATTCCCTGAAATTAACTCCCGCGCAGAGCCTGGAACCCATCGTGCGCTGAACGTGTGTTAACCAGTGTGTGCACATGTCCAGGCCATTTGAGACCGAGGAGAATTTCAGTCCCTTCCACAAACTCTAGAAATATCCTGTGATCCAGTTTCCCTAGGCCTGTATTTCGTTTCTCACTGTTTCTAAGCCAATGGGATGGGTTTTAAGTTTAGCTGCATTAAAAAAAAAAAAGGTAACAGTTCACCTTTGGACTGAGCGCGATTCTTTCATTCTTGCCTCAAACCCTGTCCACTCTGTATTCTCATGATGGTAATTTCCAGCTCATTGCGTGCTTCCTCGTTGCCACACTCTGTCTTTGTCTCATGAATCCTCCCAGCATCTGGTGTGGGAGCTGTGTGGTGTCTGTGCTCTGTGTTCACATATGAGAACAGTGAGGGTCAGAGGTTGTTACACAGTGCCCTTGGGCTCACCACCTAAGACCCAGTGGAGCCAGAATTAAACCCTGGCCTGTCTGTCTTAACTACCAAGATTTATTCTATTTTTCTTTTAGTTCAGTTTTCTAATGAGATTTTGAGAACTAAGCATTTTGAATAGTGCCGACCACATAGTCATTCAATAATTATGTTTATTTTAAATGTTTGAAATACCCTGTATTACAGTATAATTTGCATACTATACATTACACTTGTTTACAGATATAGCTCTGTAAGTTTTGACAAATGTATAAACCTGGCATGTCACTATCATAACCAAGATATATTTTACGGACAGCTCCCCCAGAAAGTTTCCCTGTGCTTCCCCCTTTTTAAACATTTTATTTTGGAATCATTGCAGATGCCCAGGAAGTTGTAAAAATAGTGCAGAAGTTTCCTGTACCCTCACCCAGTTTCCCCCAATGGTAGCTCCTACATAGCTATGATACAATCACAAAGCCAAGAATTGGGCATTGTTACTCTCCACAGACCGTAAATCCCTGAGCCCATCTGCATCAGTCTTTGTCTGCTCTCAGGTAACCACCTAACTGCCTTCTGCACTGTACTGTAAATTTGGTTAGCCTTTGCTAAAACTTTTTGTAAAGACAGAACTGTGCAGTATGTTCTCTCTGTGTCTAGCCTCTTTTGCTGAGCCTTATGTGTTTGAGAGCTATCAATATTATGTATGTGCTCCTTCCAATTGTGGGGTAGCATCCCATTGTTTGAATATAATGCAGTTTGCTTATCCATTCTCCTGCTGAGGGGCATTTGGGTTGTTTGTAACTTGGGCCTATTATATAATGAGAAGTTGCTATGAAGATTTATCTACAAGTGTGTGTGTATGGGAGGACTTGCTTTCATTTTGCTTGCATAAGTAAGAGTGGAAATGTTGGACTATTTAGTTAGTGAAGGCTTAACTTTATAATACACTGCTAAATTGTTTTCCCAAGAGAATGAGCCATTTTATACACAATCGTGCTAACACTTGAGATGGTCAGCCTTTAATTTTTGCCATTCTAATGGGTATGTAGTGTGGTTTTAATTTGCCTTTCTCTGATAATTAATGATATTGAATACCTTTTCATGTACTTAATGGCCAGTCATAGATATCCTTTTGTCTGATCAAACCCTGTGCCCATTTTAGGGGCAAGTGGGTGGGGATTTGTCGTCTTCACTCAGTAAATACTTGATGAGTAATTGTATGTTTATTGAATGACCTAAGATTGACTTGAATTTGTGTACTTTCTTTTTGGCCACTTGAAACTGTAGGTATAAAACAACTCAAATAAAATAGCTCAGGTTGGTGGTTAGTGTATTCTAAAATGATAAACTGTAGCAGGGAATCTTGTTCTGAACGTGACATTGGGATATAGGTCAGTAGTTGCCTGCCCTGGCAGGACATATCATCACCCTGACTACTGTCATCCTCATGGCCTACTCTTCCTGACCACGGGGAAGTTATCATCTGGAGACATGACTATTGTGGCTCACACGGGTGCTGAATTGCTGCATTGTTTCTCTAAGGCTAGAAATGCTCTTACCTAATCTTTATCTTGTCTAAAAATGGAAGGGCAATCTGAGCCTTGTTATTTTCAGCTGTCACTGACGCATCTTTCTCCATTAAGAATGAACGTTCACTAGACTGATATGCAGGCCTTCTGTGGATCCTGTGGACTATAACTTGTTTATTATTTTAGAAATTTGTTACCTTTTTTTTCTGTGGCACACATTTGTAAGAATATATATATTTTTAGCTTTGTTTTTGTTCTGTTATGTGTAGAGCATTACAAAGAAGTAAACACATAGCTCCTCCCAGTTAACTATTGCTTAAACAACAACCATGATAAAAAAGAAATATGTATCTAGTGTTTGTAAATCAACACAGGGGAGTGAGATCTCTATATTTCCACCTGTCGATATAAAGAGCGGTATCTCCTTTAGTTCCCCCGTTCAAGACCTTCTTCCTAAAGGAAACTGATTGAAAAGAACGTCCCATGATTCCCTCCATTCATACATGGTGTCTCCTTTTCCCCCTTTTCTTTTCCCCAGGAGGGATCAGACAGCGAGCTCTGCTCCACATACCCCCACCGTATCGGCACACGCAGACCCAGCTTTCGCACGGGGGCCACTGTTTGGATGACCTGTGCTTTACTTAGTTGATCCCTGGTGGTTGTTTCTAGGTTTTTTGTTTTTATTTTTATTTATTTGCCATTATAAAAGCTGTGCAATAAATACCAGTAGAGATTTCAGCAGACTTTTGCAGGTATATCCACAGGGCACATTTCCACCAGTTGGATCCCTGGCCCAAGAACATTGTATAATTTGTCAGCTCTGGCGAGACTGTCCTCCTGAAGGCGTCAGCATCGCGCTCTCATGTAGTGTCTGCAGATGTCTATGGCACATGTTTTCACTGTAATGGCCTCGTTTAAATTCTTTGTTATTAGCCGTCTAGTAGGATGTGAAATGGGACCCCCAAATCAAGCTGTTTTATCATTGTTGCATCCTTGCTTGCCTTCTCCCCTGGGGAGGAAACCTGAAGTGAGCACTGGGGTGTCTGAGGGGCGGCGGGAAGGGCCTCCTGCGGTGCCCGCACTGCCCGCGGCTCAGCTCCGGAGGCCGGTGGTTGATGTGCTCTGTGTTTTACACGTTTCCTGCAGGAGGAAAGCTGAGCAAGGACCTGCGGCACTTCCTCAGCCAGCGCTTCCAGAAGGGCTCCCCTGACCACGAGCTGCAGCAGACCATCAGGGACAACCTGTACCGCCACGCTGTGCCTTGTGAGTAGCCGGTGCGGGCATCGCGCCATGGGCGGCTGTGTGGGAAGTGGAGGCAGAGGGAGAGGGGCCGGCTCAGTGGCTCCTACGTCCTAGGAACCACAGTGAACAGTGGGACGCCGAGCACGGCACGGGTGGTTTCCCGGCTTTCACGCATTGGCTTTGCCACGTACTAGCTTCCAATCCCGGGCAAATGATTTATCGCTGTAAGTTCCGTCTTCACATCAGTGAGAAGGACATGTCACTCACACTAATACCTTCAGAGACCTGCTCTGGGGAGTAAGTGGGATGAGGTACACCAATTCCTGTAGAATGGCATGGCGTGAGCCTCTATAAATGGTAACCGTAGTTGTGTCAATGGCGTGGGGCAGGCCAGAGGCCGTCAGAGTGGCCACTGATGGGGGAGGCTGTGAGCTGGGTGATTGGCAGCTCAGGGGTCGTGCAGTGTCCCAGACGCTACCAAACTGCACCCCAGGTGGCCAGTCCTGAGGTGGGGGTCCTAGAAGACATGCGACTATCCGATTTCATTCAAAGTAAGAAAGAATGGCTCTGGTTTTGTTACTGGGAAGTTTTCTTGGCTCCTCTCTGTTACCCCGTACTTCACAGTTTGAAATACCTTTTTAGAAATACCGTATTTTAACCGGGGAAAGAAAGGAAAAATAAATTGAAGTTCAAGGCACCTGCTGATTGTTGTGATTAGTTTGCTATAAATGGTTTCCTTTAAAAAATAATAGTTCACAGGTAATGTGTGAGAGTGATGAACGTTTCCTGATAGGACTGCAAAAAAAATACATGTAATCTAATTGGAGGCGTGCCATCGCTCCGCAAGAACACAGACCGTCAATCCAGACCGGGACCCTAAAGGATCCTTAGAAAGCAGCTTCTAGAACAGCCCCCCGCCCCCCCGGCCCCGGCCCCTTACTTCTTAATAAAACCAAGGCTCCAGGTGGAAAAGAGCTTGACTTCAAGGAACCTGGGTCAGTCCCCGAAGTGTCCTCTTCCTGCTGCGAGGCACAGAGAGGGTGTGGTCACAGTGTGTCCATGGGGATTTCTGGCCCTCAGTGCTCTTGGGCTGTCAGCATTGGGATTGAGACTATAATCCTAAGAACATCCTAATAATTCCTTATTGGATTAATGATAATTTCTAGTGCTAACCACATGGGTTAAGCACGAATTGTCATTCTATTTTTATAAATCAAGAAACCAAGGCACGTAAACCAATAAAAAAAGGTTTAAAGGTGACCAGGGCCTCGGGTCTCCTGACCCACCATTGCCCTGTCTCTGAGATACTGTCCAATTTTACTCTTAGAAAAACCTTTTGAGGTTGGGATTTTATACCCATTTTACAGATGAGGAAACAGAGTCAGGCAGATCAAGTAACTGCTAAGTGGCATCTCTTAAGCCATCAGGGCTGCTCCTGTGGCTGGACCGCGGCTGCCGCTGAAGTTCTAGCACAGCAGGTTGAGTGCAGTTTTGCAGAATTTAGTAATTGCAGAATCATGATTGTTCTCTGTGTAATCTTCCCCCTGCTTAGATTCCAATTTAAGACATGGGGAATGAAGCACACAAGCACACCATTTCTGGATGCATCTGTGGTGTTACCATGGTTACATTTTTGGCATGCTTTCCCGTTTATGTTTTCCACTGATTTTATTGCACCTGACTGTGAGCTAAATGGCTTGGTTTTAAGCCTGCCGTCACGTAGGAACTGGGGCAGAAGTGACCTCAGCCGTCACACACAGTGGAGAACCATGTTTCATCTTTGCTTGTGTGCACGCCTGGTGCTGCATTCCTGCGAAACCAGTCAATTAGGAATTGGGAACGTGCAAATGGTCTTCCTACTGAAAAAGAAAACAAGTAACATTTCATTTTACGTTTCCTTCATAAAATGGGAAGGAAATTCAGCGGAGGCCTGTTTCCGAGTCCGGCGGTGTGTGTGCCTTTGAACGGGAGAGGCCGCGTGGCGCTGATTCTGTTCCAGGCTCGCACACCTCCGGCCACGGCTGTGTTTATTTTGGTTCTTGGACCCACGTGACTGGTGAAGCAGGACCTCTCTACCACCTGTCCTGCCAGCCGCTCAGGAAGCCCTGGGGCCCTGGTCTTGGAGGACGGCTCCTCCTGGCTCTGTGGTAGCTGCCCTGGGAACAAGCTCGTGTAATCTGCATTTTCCAGAACTTCCTGCTGCTGCTATTTCAGTGACTTCAGTATTTTGAGAAGGGGTGACCTCATGAGCAGGTGCTTGCGCGTTGGGCTAGCCTTCTTTTCCTGTACATTTTAGGAGGCTCCACGGGCAGCATGAGACATTAGTAAGTAAAGCCCTTTGTTCTCGAGTTCTTCCCCTAGTGCAGCCCAGCCTCGCACGCACCACGAGGGGTTTCACCATCAAGGGTCCCTTTTATCCAGACCCCTGGGCAGAGATCTGCGGGTGACAGCAGCCCTCCTGTTGCACAGCTTTATTGAGATGCGGGAGGCCTGGTGCATGACATTCTTGCACTGTGGTGGTGGGGGGGACGGGGGCAGGTCCCTCAGCCCAGCCTGCGCCCTCTCGCAGTCTGGGATCCCCAAGGTGTCCTTAGCGCTGCCATGGAGGCGGAAGAGGCTCCTGCTGCTACGCTCGCCAGCGGTGAGCCCAGCTTCTGGCTGAGCAGTGCTCCCCCTATGGGAGCACACTGACTACCATGGGGCAACTCCTGCATTGAGTGTCGGCCCCCAGTGGTCAGTGTGCATCATAGTGACCAGTCGTTCCACCATTCAGTCGATTTGCATATTAGGGTTTTATTATATAGGATGATTCAGCTATCATACAACTCACCCATTTAAAGTGCCCATCCGGTACTATTTTCGCTTGTTATTCTCCACTCCCACTTTATTCAAAAACTTTTATTTCAATAGCATGAGCAAGGTCATCACAATTAAACTTTAATTATATTTACCATTGAAAATCACCCTCTCCCCAAAAACCAAACAAACAAACACAAATTATGGCAGAAAAGAGAGCTAGATGCAGAGTGAATCGCATCCTGAGGGCGCAGTGTAGCTGTGTGGCCTTGTGCAACCTCCCTGACCTCCTTACGCTTCAGTAAAATGGAAATGGAAACACCCACCTCCAACACTGTCTCCCCAGACCCATGGCACCCTGGGAGAGGGGTCCGTCACAGGAAAGAGGCTCAGAGAGGTGACTAGCTTGCCTGGAGTCACACAGCGAGCAAGTGGCCTGGTCAGGGTTAAGCCAGCCTGTCTGGTGTAATTAATAACACTGATTCGAGCAGTGTAGCAGGGACCATTGAGAATGGGAGCAAAGGGAAGCTTCTCATTGCTGATCTCATTGCTGAGCTGTATAGTGTTGGCTGTTTAAAACCTTGGGGATTTATGTTTTGGGGGTAAGAAGTATCTTCTCTATGAATTGCAAGTAACTCACTAATACATACAATAGAAATTTAATAATTGTTTAATGATTATTCAGGTTTTAAAAATCATTACAGGATTCTCTTGGGGTATCTAGATTTATCTTAGTTTTTGTTAGGTCTCTTCTTAGTATACCAATGGAAAATCACCTTTAGATAATGGATTTGAAATGCATGTAAATGACGTTCATGCTGCTCACTTCTCTCATTCCTCAGAACCATCTGGATAATATTCTTGTCTCCTGCCCTTGAAATTCTGTTGAATTTCCCAACCTCCTTGCCCTCAGTGCTTCAGTCACGGGAACTTCATCCATTCCCCAAACACACCTGCTGCTTGTTTATAACTGGGTAGATACTAGTTCCCTACATTTCCATGTGACCAGTTTTAAGCTTTAATCTAGATGCCACTTCCACCATGAAGGCCTCCAGGATTGTGCCCACTGCCCTCACTGCTCCCAGACCACCCTCTGTGGCTCTCTTCAAGCACATCTTTTGCCTGCTGCATGTCCGTCTGTCCTATCAGAATCTGACTCTGCTGAGGGTGGGCACTATTGGCCTCAGTGACCCGCCCATGCCTAGAATATTGCCTGGGCCAGAGGATAAATATTTGTTGAATGAATGAACAAAATGAAGAAGTGGAGAAGATGCTCTTTGTGTCCCTTGTTTTATTTTTCCCTCATTACTTAGCATTCGGGAGAAACAGCAGAGCTGCTTTTGCCATAAAGGTTTTAGAATAAAAGGCAGCTCAGAGTGTGAGTTCCTCGAAGGCTGCGAGGACTCCCTTGATGACGTGGCTGGCCAGCCAGGCCCAGGGAAAGGTCAGGCTCCAGGGAGCGGGGAACTGGAGTGCCATTCCCCTCCTCCTGACTGCGGCCTGGACCTCTGGACCTGCTGCACTGACAGCCTTCCTGCGTTGTGACCGCCCGTCCCAGCTGACGTGACATCTGAAGATGAAGGCGATACCTGACCGGGCTTGTCATTCACCACACGGCTGCTGTCACAAGGAGGTACAGCTCATCGCCGAGCACGGGCTCCCTGGAGGGCTGCACCACCGCCCGCTCCTGTCTCCCCTGGGCTCCCTCTGCGGAGCTCGCAGTCCTTCCAAGCAGAGGCCCCTGGGACAGGGGTGGGCACTTTGCTCTGTAGCTTCCAACTTGGTGATCAGGGCGCTGCCTGATCCTGAGACCCTCATTGACGGAGCAGTTGACAAAGGGGTGGAATTGCTTCGATCCACAAGATAATTTAAATTTGATGTGATGGTAAACATAAATGATCCTGATCTTTATTCGTGCCATTTTCAAACCTATTTGAACCTATTAGTTTCTCTGTGTATGGCTGTGCCAGCTCCACTGGCCAACAGCCAGCCCGGTCTGCAATTAGAGCTGAGGGCGTGAACTGCCCAGCTGGTCAGCAAGCGGCCGGGATGAGAACTGGGCGCTGGGACGCGCTGTTCTCCTGGGACGCACTGCTCTCCTGGGATGCGCATCCGTGGTGATTGACACGAGGGCAACGCTCAGGTGGCACCTCCTGAGCTAGACAGTTTCATGGACATCCCCAGGACAGATGACATGGAAGTCACTGGGAACTCCTTGCTGTGGT